ACTGACTTGCTCATTGACTAAAGACGTGAAGGAATGGGGCAATGCTTGGGGGAAAGCATTCCAGGCAGAGGGAACAACATATGCAAAATCCCTGAGACAGGAGCATGCCTGGAATGTCTGAGGAAGAGCTTTGAGGCCAGAGTGGCTGGAGCCAAGTGAACAAGTGATATGGAGGTCAGAGTAACAGGAGAAAAGATCTGCAGAGGGCTTTGTAGACCATAAGGAAGACTTTTACTCTGAGTGAAATGAGGAGCCATTGAGGGTTTTAAGCAGAGGAGTGACATGATGTGACTTAAATAATAATAGGATACTCTGGCTGATGTATTGAGAAGGGGAAAAGGCATGTGAAGGTTCATTTTTTGTGACAACTTGACTGAATAAGGGATGCTCATATAGCTGATAAAATGTTTCTGGAAGAAATTAGCATTTGAGTTGGTAGACTAAGAAGGTCTGCCCTCATCAATGTGGGCACACTGACACTGAGGACCTGGGTAGAACAAAAGGGCAGAGGAAGGGTAACTTCTCTTGGGAAGGGTGCACCACACCTTTTGGCACATGGAGTTGACTATAGTCAAATTCATAGGATGTCCACAAAGTTTAAAAAAGAACTTTATTGGCAAAAGTACCAGTACCTACTAAAAGGCAGAGGAAGGGCAAATTCTCTTTTGGAGCTAGGACATCCATTTTTCTCTGCCCTTGGACACCAGAGGTGCTGGTTCTTGCACCTTGAAACTTCCGGACTCACACCAGCAGCCCCACTCCCTGGTTATCAGGACTTTTGCCTTGGACTGAGAGCTATACCATTGGCTTCCATGGTTCTCAGGCCTTCAGACTCAGACTGAATCACACCACTGGCTTCTCTGGTTCTCTGCATGCTCTTAGCATATTGTTGGCCTTCTGAGCTTCCATAAGTGCATGAGCCAATTCCCATAATAAATTCCTAGTCATATATCTATATATATCCTATTGGCTCTATTTCTCTGGAGACCCTGAGTAATATAAGGTGGAAGCTGGGAGAAGAAGGGATAGTGAATGCTCAGCAGTTATGATAGAAGTCTTTATATATTGAAATATTGGTTCCAATTTTTCACTCTTAATAGTATTGGAGGGAGAGAGAGAGAGAGAGACAAAGGGAGGTATATCTTGAAAGAAATTGTGAGTGCACCACATCTTTTGGCACATGGAGTTGACTACAGTCAAATTCATAGGAAATCCACAAAGTTTAAAAAAAAACTTTATTGGCAAAAGTACCAGTACCAGCTAAAAGAGATTGACACTCTAGAGGATATAAACAGATTATTGGGCTCTAATTTTCTACAGGCAAAAAGCAGGTTGAAGAACCCATTTATCCACCAAAAAGGGCATATTCTCTAATGTCCTTTGCAAGTTACTAAGGAATATGAGGGTAAAAGAATGACTTCCTAGAGTGTAGAACCAAGAGGATAGACTGGAAAATCATTCTTAGGGAGCAGAACCAGTACCTAATCATGAAACGTAATTCCCTCCAATAGAGGAACCTGACAACCATTGTCCAGTGAGATTTCCTAATTGTTATGGACCAGCGGCTATGGTCTGCCTCCATTTTTCTCCTTTGTGAATAAGGGTATTTTTTTGTGGTTATTATTGTTGCTAATCCATCATTTGTTGTATGTTTGGTATGTGAGAAAAAGATACTTGCTCTTTTAATTCATAGGTCTCTATGTCAGGAAGAGCTATATCTGGACCTGATGTAGATCATGAGATCCTGGACTTCAAAGATGTGATGGAACTTTCAGGGTTTTGGAATAGAAGTGGGTCTAGTTTGCATGTGGGAAAGATATAATTATAATCAAGAAAGCAGATTAAATTACTGGTCCCAATTCTTCACTATTCTGTAGTAGTATTATGCATACATGGTGAACAGTGTATTTCCTCATCCTCTTTGGGCTTCATTTGATGACTTTTTTTTTTTTTTAAATATGGAATGTCAGTGGAAGTGATATTATTAGCAAAAGCTTAAAGTACTCTTGAATGCTGGGTTTTCCTGTTTGTCTTCTGTGGCCAGCATGAGAAGAGCTTGTCCTGGATAACATCTTTCAGCATGGGCTCAGAATAGGACACGTGAAGCAGAGGCGCTGTGCTGCAGTTGACCCGTGGGCCCACAGCCTGAAGCAGACCTTCCTCTTGTCAGCCCACGAACCCAAAGCAAACCTTGAGGTTGTGGTCCAGCCTAGCTCAGCTACATTACTACTGACCTACAGACCCAAGAGAAAAGATAATTGTCTTAAAGCACTGACTTTGGAATGGGTTGTGCAGCAGTAGTGAGACAATCACTGACCAGTATGGGTTATCGCAGTAATTCACAAGGACATCATAAGAACTAGGACCAAGGTGGTAACAATGGAAGTGGTGAGAAGTAGGCAGATTTTGAATTTATTTTCTAGGTACAGCCCACAGGTTTTGCTGATAGATTGTATATGGGGTGTGAAAGAAAGTGAAGCATTAAAGATGAATTCAAGGTTTTTGGCCCAAGGAAATGGAAGAATGGAGCAGCCATTTTTGAATGGAAAACTTGGGTGTGGGGAAGTTTCAGATTTGGGGACAACATCAGGAGTAGTTTTTGATATGTTACTTTTGAGATGCCTATAGACATCCAAATGGGGATGTTATATAGGCAGTTGCATATAGATACAGAAGTTCTCAGGCAGAGGAGAGAAAGGTCTGGGAGTAATCATTAAGAACAAGGATTTTGGCCGGGTGCGGTGGCTTAAGCTTGTAATCCCAGCACTTTGGGAGGCCGAGGCGGGTGGATCACAAGGTCAAGAAATCGAGACCATCCTGGTCAACATGGTGAAACCCCGTCTCTACTAAAAAATATACAAAAAATTAGCTGGGCATGGTGGCGCGTGCCTGTAATCCCAGCTACTCAGGAGGCTGAGGCAGGAGAATTGCCTGAACCCAGGAGGCGGAGGTTGCTGTGAGCCGAGATCGCACCATTGCACTCCAGCCTGGGTTAACAAGCGCGAAACTCAGTCTCAAAAAAAAAAAAGAACAAGGATTTTAAAGCTATGAGACTGCAGGAAATCGAGTGAGTATAGAAATGGGGTCAAAAGACTGAGCCTAAGGGCCCTTAGTATTCAGTGGTTGGGAAGTTGAAGAGTTACCAGGAAAGGGAATTGAGAAGGAACAGCCAGAGAGATAAGAGGAAAACCAGGTAAGTTCTAATAAAGTGTCATTCATATGTGTTGTTTTCATAATATCACATCCATTGCTCAAATTTTCCTTTTTCTCCTTCACTACAAATATCACCACCACTAGATGTATGCGTGTGTGCGTGTGTATGTGTATGGAACGCAGTGTTAGCTACTTTATAACAAGAGAATTACTAAAAAAGCTAACTTATTTCTTTTTTTTTTTCCTGCTATATATTCACTATGGAAAAAAAAAAATCTCTTTCTCTCTCTGGTCTCCTCTCCAGGTCAGGGAATCTAAATCTTTGCATAAATTCTGGGTCCACCTTGATAATCCTCTAAGCAGAATGGCTTTGTTCCGGAGGGGAAGGTGTTGGAAGCTGGTGCTTTCCGTGGAATGGGAGGGATGAGCAGCTGGAATCCTGGAGGATTGATTTCTTTTCCTCTCTAAACCAGGAGGAGAGGGGTTAAGGAGGGAAGGAAGGGGGATATTAGAGACTTGTATTTGGCTAGCATGAAATTCTCTACAGTGGCAGCAAGACTTTAGAAGGAGAAAGGCCACCTGTATGAGTGGACATTGGAGAATGAATGCCATAACCTTAAAAGGGTTGGTGTGAATCAACTGTGTTTGAGTGGAGATCACTTAGGTGAACCTCTGTTGCAGTGCCTGATATAAAGGCTCAGTGCCAGGAATGGCAGTGAGGCACCTGAAATAAAACTGCTTTGGAGAAAGAGTAGGTCTAAGCCTATGACAAGGATCAAAGTGTTTGTAGAAGAGTATTTGTTATGACATAAAATATATCTGGTTTTAGAAACTCCTCAGGACCGGGCCATCCTGCCTTGTTTTTGACCTTTGGGAACAATGGCTATATAACTATGAATGAAGAGAGATGTAATCCTGGAACTAAAACCATCCACTGTGGTGCAGGCAGGAATTGGAACCAGCCAATCACCTCAGTCTGCTGGACTATGTTACAACATTATGGTAGAAGGCAACAGCATTAACTAAATGGTAAGACTGTACTTTCTACCTTTTGTATTGGGAAGAGAACTGCACCCTTTGGTCTAAGACATGAACCCTCAGTTTCTTGGACAATCAAGGTTAGAGAGGCCTCAAAAAGGAGAGACTGAACTTTCAAAAAATAAGGCACCGAGGATTTGAATGGTTCAGTGAACCATTCAAATAAGATATAAAGCCTCTGAGTTTGTAAAATAGCCATTACCATTTGTATATTTTTTCATATACCATTGTATATTAAAAAAAACTTGGGAAGTTTTAACTGAAGAAGACAGCATGATATGATAGCTTTTGCTTTTTCCAATGTGATGTTCTGGAGAGCAAAACAATAAAAAATTGTAAGTTGCATGAGTGTAAGAACAGTATTCACTACTAATCCCCAGCACATGAATAGTGCTCAATACATTTTCAATAAATAATCGAATGCATGTAGGATAAATGAAAACAAGTGGGTTAAATTTACAAGGGGGCAGATTTTTTTTTTATTTTTTATTTTTTTAGACAGTCTTGCTCTGTCGCCCAGGCTGGAGTACAGTGGCACAATCTCAGCTCACTGCAACCTCCGCCTCCTGGGTTCAAGTGATTTCTTCTGCCTCAGCCTCCTGAGTAGCTGGGATTACAGGCGCATGTCACCACGTCTGGCTAATTTTTGTATTTTTAGTAGAGATGAAGTTTCACCATGTTGGCCAGGCTGAAGCAGGCAGAGTTTTGACCCAGCTTATCTTTCTAACAATTCTAAATTTAAATAGACTACCCTTAAAAAGCAGTGAAATTCTTTATCACTAGGAGTGAAACAGGAGCTAAAGAACATCTTTGGGGGATGTGATAGAGAGGATTTATTTATTTGATAATGGTGAGACCACATAACCTCTGAGATCTCTGTAATCTCAGATACTTTAGTTCTATAACTCTAAATCTAAGGGTCTCTTAGATAGGCTTGAGACAAGTGTAAACAAACTCATGATCGCAGAGAAATCTTCAAGTGGCATGTTTCAATGGTACCCTTATTAAACAAATGCTCGTGACAGATTTTCACAACAGCAACAAATGTTATTTCACAACATCGAATCTTCCTTACTCAGGAAAAAATGACAATAACAAGAAGATTAATGGAGTTGAATTATACTTCATGTTTCCTGGAGGTAAAAATAAGTGTCCTCACTTGTTTTCCTCTTTTTCTTCATCTTCCTCATTTTGAAGACTATCTGTTTTCATTTTCTTCACCTCCTCTCTGGCTATGTGTCCCCGGAAGGCAGCCTGGATTTTGACAGCAGCAACCTCTTCTTTTTCTTTATCTTCCTCAGAAGAGTCCTTCATTGAAAGGAGAAAAAGTCATAGACTCTTTAAACATGCCGTATTTTTGATGCCATAAAAAGATATGCATAAAATTTAATCAATTTAGGGATGCAACTATCAGAGATCTGTTGCTTCCTGAGGGAGTTTCATATATTGTCACATTGTATATGCACCGAATGGCAAATGCCAAAATAGCAGGCATTTTGTTTTGTTACTCTTTAATATGTCCCAGCAACAAAAGATCATTGCCAACTTTCCTTCCCCCAGAATAGTGCCTATTTCAGTTTCCTTAAATAGGTACTATTTTGGGGGGTTGGGGGAGGGACAAAAAAGAATCCTTGAGGCATGGTAAAAATGTTAAGAATAATAATAAATGTTATGTCTAAAAATAATCATAATTACATACAATAAATTAGAAATAACTTCTCAATTTCTAAATGATTAGCTAATCAAAGTCATACATTTAAAGTGAAGTACCAAAGAGAAATCCATTTAGTCCAATAAAGTCAGTTTTAACATGGTTTGTTGAACTTTGGCACATACCATCTTTTTTAAAAAAAATGGGTATACATTTTTAGGTATAAATTTACAGATAGTAAAATGCATGAATCATTAGTGTACAACTGAATAAATATAGAGCTTTTAATATATCTTTAAATATTATAGAAATGATATGTATACACTTCAAAAACTCAAATGTCATTGGCAGTGAAAGCTTTCTCCCCCTATTCAAATCCTGCTCCAGGGAGATACCCATTATTATGAGTTGAGTATCTATATCCTTCCAAAATTTCTCTATATGCAAATATATTCATATGGGTATATATATATGCCTTTTTATTTTAAAAATGAGATCATGCTAATCACAGAGTTCTGCAGCTACTTTTTCCATGTAACAATATATCTTGGTTCTCTTTTTCTGTGTTATTAGTCAGTGTATAACTCTGCCCATTCTTCTTTTTTATGACATCATTGTATTATATTATACTGATGTACTTTTATTTAATATTTACTCAATCTCATATTGATGGGCCTTTGGGTTGCTCAAGCTCCCAGCCCCCCATTATAAATAGTAAGACAAATCTAGCTCAAACTTTTAAATGCAAACAGAATGGTACTAAATTCTTTGAGATGACATCCTAATACAGGCAAATGAAAACAGTCCAGTTGGAAATCAATGAGATCCCTATTCAAACTCATGAAAACCTGTGTAAGAGCAGCTATGAAAGATGTAAGGAAATAAAACTCCCTTCTTCCTTGACGTCCTGTTACATCTTAGTGTTAGGCTTATTGGGTTGTATTGATATAATTCTGGAATAACCTGTACATCTTATAGGGAAAAGTCACACATTACTAGGTAGGAGGTAGGGTATTCCTTGAGGAGATATCCATTCTGGGTGCCAGTTACTGGGCAACTACCTGGGACCTGAGACATAAAAAAGAACTCAGAAGTTTGAACTTCGACATTGTAGAGTGAGTTCTTCTTTCTTATGAGGCCTAGTCCACAAGAGTCTGGACTATGAAGAATATAAACAATCATGTACTGGTAAGTGTTTTAACAACTGGCTCTCCAGAAAAAAACAAAGCCCAGATTTGCAGTGTTTGCCATGGTCTTAAAATTCTCATTGTGGATGATTCAAGTTATTAAAGTGACATTACTGAACATGAGCCTGGGTAGAAATGTGCACAATTGTCTCTTGAGAGCTGGCTCTAGCACACCACTGAATATAGGTATCTTTGAGGGTGGACCTCTCTATGTCTTGACTGCTTGGATGTAGTACATCAGGCACAGAGGCATTTTTGTAGGGGGTTATGCGTCGAAGATGAATAAGCCATATTGCTGTGAAGCCATTATTTTGGCTTTATGTAATTCCCTGTGATTTTTCTTTTGTTATCTCTGAATGTTTGCTATTGTGTAGTGGTGACAGCATCAGTTAGTGAAAAATTCCCAAAGTGGAAGATGAATCTGAAGGATCACAACTGGGGCTGTGAGTTCTGTCTGCCCTTCCCCAGAGGGAGATTTTCCATCCATTAACACTCTTGAAAAATAAGATTTTATTTTTAAGGGAAAAATGAGTTTTTGATCATAAGAGGCATGGCTGAAAATGATCTACCAGTTATTTTATCTGTACATTAAAATATTACATACTAAGATGGTGACTGGTGTTTCTTCCTCCTTCCCAGATATCTGAGACTTTTCTTGTTTAGGATCACATTTCTCAGGTGGTTCTTGCTTCTGGACAGATAGGAGAGAGCGAAATTAGCCATGTTTCCAAACTAGCAAAGTCTTGTTTAGAAGTAATTAAAAATTACTTTAAATTACTGAGAAATAGAGGGAATTAAATACTACATATTTAGTATTTAATTTAATCAAGATATTATCTTGATGTTAATCTTTATCTGGAATTTATCTTGATGTTAATTATCTGGAAGGTAAAAATCATAATTTTGACAATAAAGATAACAGACATTCACTGGAGTTCAATTTTAAATTTGGCAATATCATTCTTTGTACATGAAAATATCATTCTTCAATAGTACATTAAAAATATTACATACTAAGATGGTGACTGGTGTTTCTTCCTCCGTCCCAGATGTCTGAGACTTTTCTTGTTTAGGATCACATTTCTCAGGTGGTTCTTGCTTCTGGACAGATAGGAGAGAGCGAAATTAGCAATGTTTCCAAACTAGCAAAGTCTTGTATAAAACTGTTTAGAAGTAATTAAAAATTACTTTAAATTACTGAGAAATAGAGGGAATTAAATACTACATATTTAGTATTTAATTTAATCAAGATATTATCTTGATGTTAATCTTTATCTGGAATTTATCTTGATGTTAATTATCTGGAAGGTAAAAATCATAATTTTGACGATAAAGATAACAGACATTCATTGGAGTTCAATTTTAAATTTGGCAATATCATTCTTCAATAGTACATTAAAAATATTACATACTAAGATGGTGACTGGTGTTTCTTCCTCCTTCGCAGATATCTGAGACTTTTCTTGCTTAGGATCACATTTCTCAGGTGGTTCTTGCTTCTGGACAGATAGGAGAGAGCGAAATTAGCAATGTTTCCAAACTAGCAAAGTCTTGTATAAAACTGTTTAGAAGTAATTAAAATTACTTTAAATTACTGAGAATTAGAGGGAATTAAATACTACATATTTATCTTTAATAAGGAAAATACATTAAAACAAGAATAAATAATTAAAGCTCTTAAGGGAATATGTGTAAACAAATATTAAAGACCAAATAATTGGCAAAACATTTGATCTGTTGCTTTTGGAATGTGTGTACCACTGTTTTATGTTCAAAGTAAACCACTGTCCTATACTAAAAGTTGATAAGATGCTATAATGAATCCTGAACAAAGTATAAAAGAGAGATTCCAATAGTTTCTAAAATAGGAATAAAATAAATGGCATTGTCTTCTATAGTGTGGCGTCAAGTTGAATTTTGAGTGAGGTTTATGAATTAAAACTAGTAAAAGAAGCAAGTTTTGCTGTGGCGTTTTGCTTTATGATTTAAATATAAAAGGAGAAACCACCTCTGCCTATTTTGAAATGGTTAAGTCTTCCTCCCCAAACTAAAGGCATTGCCAATTCACACCTATTGAAAGAGTTTCTTTAACCCATGAAACTGAAATTTAAGAATATGTAATCTAATCAAATAAAACCTTTAGAATAAAAAAAAAACTCCAGAATTGCTATGTGATACAAGGATTTAAAATTTTCAACATTATTACTTTATTTCAATAAAACATGAATACAAATAAAACATGAACACAGAGAATCTAGTAAAATAGAAATAAGCAGAAATAAGCAGAAGTTCCAAATGGATGGAACTTCACTTTCAAACTCATGTAAGAAGCGACAACTACTTCTTCAGGAAATCCCTCAAATCTACCGGAGAACACCATCAAAACCTGAACTTTGTTAATTCTTTTCAGTTCTAATATCTGCTGGTGCTTTGTGGCTAACAGTATTAACTCAGTTGTCTAGAGCAGTGTTCTCCAATTTTAATGTACCTACGAATTACTCCAGTGATCTTTTAAAAATGTAACTTCTGATCTGTGGACCTGGGGAAGACAATACTTTGAATTTCTTCTTTTTTAAAATATTTGTACAAATTAATAGAGTACATGTACAGATTTGTTATAGGAATGGACTGGTGATCAAGTCAGGGTTTTTAGGATGTCCATTACCCAAATAATGTCCATTTTACCCATTAACCAATTTCTTATTATTATCCCCCCTCCCACCTCTCCTCACTTTTTTGAGTCTCCATTAACTATCATTTCATTCTCTATGTCCATTTGAACACATTTTTTTTAGCATCCACTTATGAGTGTAAACATCTACTACAAGTCTTTCTGTGCCTGGCTTGTTTTACTTAAGATAATGGCATCCTGTTTTATCCATGTTGCTGGAAAAGACATAACTTCTTCCTTTATTATGGCTGAATTATATTTCATTGTGTATATATCCCATATTTTCTTTATTCATTCATCCATTGGACTGATATGCAGGTTGATTCCATAATTTTGCTGTTGCGAATGGTGCTGCAAAACAACATAAAAATGAAGGTATCTTTTGATGTATTAATTTATTTTCCTTTGGGTAGATACCTACTAGTGAGATTGTTGGACTGAATAGTAGTTCTATTTTTAGTTATTTATAAAATCTCCGTACTGTTTTCCTTAAAGGCTGTACTAATTTACGTTCCTGCCAACAGTGTATAAGAGTTCTCATTTCTCTATATCCTTGCCAATATGTTATATTTTTTTGTCTTTTTTATAATAGCCATTCTGAGTGGGGTAAGATGATACCTTATTGTAGTTCTGATTTGAACTTTTCTGATGATTAGTGATATTGAGCATTTAAAAATATACCTGTTGGACTTGTATGTCTTCTTCTAAAATATCTCTATTCATGTCCTTTTCCAAGTTCTTGTTACTTTTTCCTTTTCTTTCTTTCTTTTTTTGAGACAGGGTCTCACTCTGTTGCCAAGGCTGGAGTGCAATGGCATGATTATAGCTCACTACAGCCTTGACTTGTGGGCTCAAGTGAACCTTGCACCTTAGCCTCCCAATTCAAAGTATTGTTTTCCCCTTTCACCTTAGCCTCCCAGAGAGGTGCACACCACCACGTCTGGCTAATTTTTTATAGAGATGGGTTTCACCATGTTGCCCATGCTAATGTCAAACTCCTGGGCTCAAACAATCTTCCTGCCTTGCCTCTCAAAGTTCTGGGATTACAGGCATGAGCCACCATGCCCAGCCCTTTGCCCATTTTTAATGGGATTATTTATTTGTTGTTGTTGAACTGTTTGACTCCCTTGTGTATTTTGGATATTAGTCCCCTGATGGATGAATAGTTTGCAAATATTTTCTCCCATTCAACAGCTTGTCTTTTCACTCTGTTGATTATTTCTTTCACTGTGCAGAAGCTTTTTAGCCTAATTAAGTCCCATTTGTCTATTTTTGGTTTTGTTGCCTGTGCTTTTGTTGTCTTGGTCATATATTCTTTGCCTAGACCAATATCCAGAAAAGTTTCCCCTAGGTTTTCTTCTAGCATTTTTATACTTTTAGATCTTATGTTTAAATCTTTAATTGATGATGAGTTGATTTTTGTATATGATGGGAGATAGGGATCTAGTTTCAGTTTTCTATATATGGGTCTCCAATTTTGCCAGCACTATTAATTGAAGAGGATGTCCTTTCCACAATGTATATTCTTATCAGTTTTGCTAAAGATCAGTTGGTTATATGTATATGGGTTTATTTCTGACTCTTCTCTATTCCGTTGATTTATGTGCCTGTTTTTATACCAGTTCTATGCTATTTTGGTTACTATAGCCTTGTATTCATTTGGTGCAAAAGTAATTGCGGTATTTTTCTACCGAAATAGCAAAAACTGCAATTACTTTTGCACCAAGCTATAATATCATTTGAGTATCATTTAATAATGTGATATCTCAAGCTTTGTTTTTCCTGCTCAGGATTGCTTTGGCTATTTGGACTCTTTTTTGGTTCCATATGAATTTTAGGATTGTTTTTTCCAATTCTGTGAAAAGTGAGCTGGTACTCTGATAGGGATAGCATTGACTCTGTAGATTGTTTTCAGGAAAAGAATGGCCATTTTAAAGATGTTAATTCTTCTGATCTATGAGCCTGGGATGTTTTTCCATTTGTTTGTGTCATCTTCAATTGCTTTCATCAGTGTTTTATCATTTTTTCTTGTACAGATTTTTTGCCACCTTGGTTGCATTTACTCCTTGTTTTTTAAAGCTACTATAAATGGGATTGCCTTCTTGATTCCTTTCTCAGGCACCTTGTTATTAGTGCATAGAAATGCTACTGATTTTTGTGCATTGATTTTGTATCCTGAAACTTTAATGAATTCATGTAACAAATCTAAGAGTTTTCTGGTGGAGTCTTTAGATTTTTCTAGATATAAGATTATATTGGCAGTCAGGCATGGTGGTTCATGCCTGAAATCCCAGCACTTTAGGAGGTCAAGGCAGGATGATCACTTGAGGCCAGGAGCTGGAGACCTGTCTGGACAACATGGCAAAACCCCATCTTTCCAAAGACAAAAACATTATTCAGTGTGGTGGCACATGTTTGTAGTCCTAGCAACTTGGGAGGCTAAGATGGGAGGATCCCTTGAGTCCAAGAGGCCAAGGCTACAATGAACTATAATCACACCATGCCACTCCAGCCTGGATAACAGAGTGAGACCTCATTTCTGAATATATAATCATCTATATATAATATAATATATCTATGTCTATATATATCAGCAAACAGAGATAATGACTTACTCTTTTCCAATATGGATGCTTTTTATTTCTTTCCCTTGCCTCATTGCTCTGGCTAGGACTTCCAGTACTATGTTGAATAGGAGTGGTGAAAAATCCTTGTCTTGTTCCCGTTCTTTGGGGAACTGCTTTCACTTTTTTTCCTATTCAGTATAGTATTAGCTGTGGAATTTTTGTATATGGCATTTATTGTTTTGAAGTATGTTCCTCCTATGCCTAGTTTGTTGAGAATTTTTATCATGAAGTGATGTTGAATTTTATCAAAGCTTTTTCTGCATATAGTTTTTGTCTTTCATTTTGTTGATGTATCACATTTATTGATTTACAGATGTTGAACCATCCTTGTATCCCTGGTTTAAAACTGACTTTATCATGGTGTGTTACCTTTCTGATGTGCTGTTGGATTCTGTTTGCTGGTATTCTGTTGAAGATTTTTGCATCTATTCATCAGGAATATTGGTCTGCAGTTTTCTGTTTTTGTTGGGTTCTCGTCTGGTTTTGATATCAGGGTGATACTGGCCTCATAGAATGAGTTTAGGGACAATCCATTTTCTCAGTTTTTTGGAATAGTTTCAGGATGTGTGGTATTAGTTCTTCTTTCTATGTAGAACTGGGTAGAATTTGGCTATGAATCCATTAAGCCTGGCCTTTTATTTTGGTGGTGATGGTGGGGGCATATTTCTATTACTGAATCAATCTTACTACTTGCTATTGGTCTGTTCAGGTTTTCTATTTCTTCCTGATTCCATCTTGGTAGGTTGTATGTTTCCGGGAATTTATCTATTTCCTCTGTGTCTTCTGGTTTGTGAGTGTACAATTGTTCATCATAGTCTCTGATGACTGTTTATGTTTCTGTACCATCAGTTGTAATGTCTTATTTTTCATTTCTAATTTTATTTGGGTCTTCTTTCTTCTTGGTTAGTCTAGCTAGCCATTTATCAATTTTATTTATCTTTTCAAAGAACCACTTTTTTTGTTTTGTTAATCTTTTGTATTTTTATTTTAGTCTCCATTTAGTTTTGTTCTGATCTTTGTTCTCTCTTTTTTTCTGCTACTGTTTGGTTTGTGCTTGCTTTTCAAGTTGCTTGAGGTTCATCTTTCAATTGTTAATTTGTAATCTTTCTACTTTTTTTGATATAGGCATTTATTGCTATCAACTTCTCTCTTAGCACTACTTTTTCTGTATACTATAGGTATGTTGTTTCCAGTTTTAATT